GGGGGGTGCGCGCAGGCCGGGTGGGAGCAGAGTCGGGAGGGGAGCTGGGAGGGGATTCGGCGAGGCGTGCGGGCAGAGAGGCAAGGGGGGAGGGGGGATTTCGCGCTGGAGTTTCACCCCCCTGGTGTGGGGCCGTCCAGGGGTGCGCCAGCAAATGTATTTCGGCAACCGACGCCGGGGTGTCACGCCGGGGTGTCAGCAGCCGGGGGCGTGATCCCGCGACGGAGCACCTCGTCGGCAGACACAGATGACAGTGGGTGGGTGTGCCTGGGCGGGTGGGCAGGCGGGGGGGCGGGGGGGCGGGGCGAGAGTCCGGGTCGGGGCAACCCGACAGCGGGTGATGTGCTGTGGTCCATCTCTGCCTCCGCCCCCCCCCCCCCTCCCCGTTCGACCAGCGGGCAGGGGCCGCCGGGGGAGAGTAAACAGCGCAGTTCGGCGCGCACATGTGCGGGCTGGGGATCGTGGCTGTTCTTCTCCGGGGCCCGGCGCCTCGGCCTCGGCGGCCCTGTCCCTCGCGGCCCTACCTTCAGCGGATTCCTCGGCCGCCGGGGGAGAGTTCCCTGGCCGCGCCGTCCCTCGGTGCGGAAGCCCCCCCCGCCCAGGCCCGATGGCCGGACGCCAGTGGGACATCCCAATGTATTTGGGCCAGGCCCGGGGCCATTTCGTTGGTATGTGATCGTCTGGCGCGAGCCGGGCTCAGGGGGGGGAGGACGGGCGGGGGCGGGTCGGGGCGTAGGAGCGAATATTTATTCGCGGATTGTTCGTGCCGCGAGGGGAGGAGGGCCCATCGGCCCCTCGTTCCGGGGCGGAGGGGCGGGCCGAAGAGAAGGGCAAGGGGCGGGGGGGGGGGGGGCCGGGGGCCTGCCGCCGTGGGGCCGGTTGGCCCGGCGACGCCCGGGGGCCCTCGCGCGTAGTTCAGAGCGTCCATTGTGTGTGGGTTAATAGGTGCCCAGGCACTCATTCCAGGGTGCGGGGGTCGGCGGGGCACGGGGCATCATCTGCTCTCGGTGAATGTGCTCGTCTTCGCGGCCAGGGGGGGGGGAGGGGGGGCATTTCCGGGGCACCAATCGCAACGTGTGTGCCGCGTGTGTCCCCTTCGCTCCGACGCACGGGAATATTCGATATGCCGGCGCGGGGTGCGCTGGCCCGGGTATGCGGCGGAGGGGCAGCGCTCGCCGCACTGACAGCACTCATGTGCGCGGGTGAGAGGGGGAGGGGGGTGATTCGTATGGCGTTCTCTCTCTCTCTCTCTCTCTCTCTCTCTCTTTCTCTCGGCCGGCCGGCCGGGCGCGCCTATCTGTTGCTGCAGCGCGCGCGCCCACCCCTCCCCCCCCCCCCCCCGTCTCCCCCTCCCCGGGGTGGTGGGGGTGCAAGGGCGGGGCCGGGGCCGGGGCCGGGGGTGCGCCCACAACCCTTCGCCCCGGAACGGCCCTTTGATGTGATGCCTTGAGGCTGGTGGCCCCCCGGGGCGAGCGACTGGCGCTGGCGGGCGGGGGAGGCGAGGTTGTGGGCCCTTTGCTCGGGGCCGCCCCCCCCCCCTCCCCCCCTCCCCCGCCGTGCCCTTCTCTCCGGTGGCTGGGGGCCGTGGCGATCAGCCTCCGCGGAACAACTCCCGTGAGCTCGTACTTCCACGGCGCCAAGCGTGTGTGTGCATATGTGGCCTGTAAGCTTGCCCGCCGGCCGGGAGCATCCCACACCGGCCCGCGGGCCCTTTTGTTGCTCCGTGTGCTGTGGTGGCGTCTCCGGCGTCCTCCCCACGAGGCCGCCCCCTGCGCGCGGGCCGCCATGGACAGGGCCTGTTGATGCGCGCGCGTCGGCGGCTGCCGGGGGGCTGGTGGCGACGCGGCTCGGGAGGGGGGGGGTGTTTTCGGCTGGACAATCTCCCTCGGGCAAGATCTCCCAGTTGTCCCCCGGCGCGCGCCCCCACACAGTCCCCCCTGCGCTCCGTGCGATTTGCGATGTGGGCGGATCTAAACTCCACCCCGGACGGCGTGTGTGACCGGGCTGCCCCCTGGCCTGCGGTGCGCCAGGTGGCCGCAGGGTCGCGCGGCCGCGGTGGTGGCAGCGACAACGCCGACGGCGGCCGGGGCCAGCAGCGGCGGGGAGACCGCGCAGGCGTTATTGTTTTTTCGGCGCTGCATGACCCACCCCGGGCGGGCACTGATTGGCAGATGTGCGCCCCTGCGGGCGCCGATCGGCGGCCACAGCCCCGCGCAGCCTGCCACACGAGGGCTGTCCTGGGCTATCCACGCACAGGACACGCGTTTGGGGGGGGGGGGGGGAGACCCCGGGGCCGGCCCATCCACCGCCGTCCCCGGCCCGCGGCGTGCCTGCTGTTCGGCGGAGGAGGAGGGGCGCTCCCACGCCCGGTGGGTGGGTGTCGCTATCTCTGCGCTTTGCGCCTTGTCCCTCGCTTGCTCGCTCTGCCTCGCGCTCTCATGGTGTGTCTCCGGGCCTTCTGTATCTCCCTCCGCGCCTATCTCCGTGTCTTTTTGTGTGTGTGCATGCGTCTCTCCCGCACCCTCTTCCGCGCCGTCGCCCTGCCCGTCTCCCGCCTGGGCCTCTCCACGTTCCGACATCGGAGAGGATAAGGCGAACCCCCAAGGGGGGGAGGAGCGCCGACTACGTGTCGAGGTGTGTGTCATATATTTCAGCTCTCCGGGCCAGGTGCTGCCCATCCACCGCCCGGGGAGGACCACCTGGGAGCGCGCGTTCGCTCGGCTCATGTGGAGGGGACAAACAGAGGCGAGCAAATACCACACCCTGGCCCGGGGGGGGGGGGCGAGGTCTGGCACCAGTTCCGGGCATGGTCGAGGCCTCCTCTCCCGCAACACCGTGGGGTTTCCACATGTGCGGCTCCTGCAGGGCGCCCCCCTTGCTTGCTCTCCCGGCAGGTGCGTGGCGGGGAGGCCCCCCCGGCTCCCCCCCGGCCCCCCCCGGCCCCCCCCTTCTTCCTCAGCCCCTCGCACGCACGCGCTGGTTCCCCCCCCCCTCCTCCCGCCTTCTCGCCTCCGCCCCTCGTCGTTCGCATATCCTCCCCCCCCCCCTCTCGCCCCTGTGTCACAGCTACGAGCCGCGCCTTGCCGCCTTATCGTGTTGTCACTCCCGTGCATTCCCCATCCCCCGAGTCTCCCCTCGCCCTCCCGTCTCCCCCCCCTCTGATGCCTCTCAGCTCCCTGGGGCTGGCCCCTTCTGAACTGGCGGCCAGCGCCCCTCCCGGAAAGTCACTCCCAAGCCCCGCTCCCTGGTGCCCGGGCTCGCCCGCAGACGATTCCCCCACCACGCAGCCGCTCATGTCCTCCAGCGATGAGGACTCCCTGGCCGAGGATTTGATGCTCGGCGAGCGGCGGTTCCCCTCCCGGCAGCTCGCCGACGAAGAGTCATCCCCTCCTGGGCAACACCAGCAGCCGCAGCCGCAACACCAGCACCAGCACCAGCAGCAGCAGCAGCAGCAGCAGCAGCAGCAGCAGCAGCAGCAGCTGGTCGGATACGATCACCACCCGACAGGCCATCCCCAGCCGCAATCGATGGTGGCCGCGGTGGCGGCCGCCGCCCCGGCCTCACGCGGATCCTTCTTCTTCTCCGACGACCCGGCCGAGGGGTTCTCCCCTCCGCGAGCGGCCCCCAAGTCGCTGGAGGCCGCCGTGCGCAACAGCCACCTCGCATCGTGGCGAAACTCGCCGCTGCTGTCCCGGATCCCGGCGTATGGTCACCACGCGCCGGGGGGCGGGTCGACCGATTCCCCGCATGGCCCTCTGCAGGAGAATGTCCCCCTGCCCTTTTCCTTCACGGTGGCCGATCTGCCCGAGGTGGCCCTGCCCTCCTCCCCCCCGCCGGAGCCTTCGCAACTTGCGCGCGGCCTGCTCCCGCACCGGTCCATGCGCGCGGTCATGTTCATCCTGCCGGCCCTGTGGCGGGTGCAGCCCGCCAGTCCGGCGCTCTTTGCCAGCCCGCCCGCGGGCCCGGGCTCGCCGGTCCTTCGGGCCTCGGATTCCGGGCACCCCGGCCATGGGCCGCCCGGTGCCGGCTCGGCGCTGCCATCGGACACACATGCTCTGCTGCAATTGAGCCTCGATGCCGGGAATCGCTTTTGCCATGCCACCGGTCACCAGCTGTGCCAGGGTCGTGGCCTGCTGGATCGCCACTGTGGGCCTCTGGTCTACCGCCAGCCTCCCTCCATGCTGGCCCCCCTGTTTTTCAGCCTCCTGGCGCCGCGGCCGCCGGCCCAGCTCCAGGCATCGCTGGATCCGATGATTCTCGCCTCGCCGGTCTTCCGCCGGGATATCGGCGTCGTGGCTGGGGCCTCGTCCCTCTTTGACCCGCTGCGCGTGGAGTCCCTCAATGCCGGCGATCCGGCCACCCAGGCGGCCGACGCGGCGGCCCTCCAGCGGGCCCGGCGCTCGCTCGGTGGCATCTCCGCCCGGCATTTCCCGGCCCTGGCACGGCTGTCCTCCGCGCTGCTGATGCGTCTCCTGGAGGCCCTCTTCCCTGGCGGGGTCATCATTGACTGGGACCAGCTCCAGGAGCTTCGCCGCCTCCAGGACGAGGAGGGCGCATGCATCCTGCTACTGCCAACACGTACGCTTGTCCCCCGCACGCCCGCCCGCCCGCCCGCCCACCTGTTCCCCGGCCTCTTCCTGCCTCGACCTCCTCGGCTCTCATGCGCCGGGCCGGGCCGGCCGTCCTGCCACTGACCTTCTGCCCGGCCCCGAAATGCCCCCCCCCCCCCCGGCCGGCAGACAAATCGCACGCCGACTATCTGCTCGTGTCATTGATCTGCTATGCCACCGGCCTGGCCCTGCCCCACATCGCGGCCGGTGACAATCTCAACCTCCCGGTTGTGGGCCGCTATGCTCGGGCCCTTGGGGCTTTCTTCGTCCGCCGGCGCACCGTCGGCCTGGGGAATGTCGGGGAATCCGGCCAGCCGGCCAAGAAGCCAGCCCCCGGGGGGGCGGACATGCCGGCGGCCACGGCCACCACCGGCGCCCCCCCGGCGACGGTGGCGGCTCCGACCCTGACGAGCACCACCATGACCACCACCACCACCACCACCACCACCACCACCACCACCACCACCACCACCACCACCGGCGCCCCCCCGGCGGACACGCCCCCCGGCGGTGGCATCACCAGCACCGGGGCCATGCTCCCGGGTGCCATGCCGGTGACGGCCGTCAACCTGCCCTCCTTCCGGCCGTCTCCGGTCCTTCGCGCCACCGATGCCTCGGATGCCGAGGCGCCGCATTTGCCGCCGGTGCCAGCCCCCCCGGCAACGCCGGTGCCCGGGGCCCTGACCGGCGCCAATGACCCGGGGGTCCCGGTCAGCGACAACACCCTCAACAGTGCCCTGCTGCGGGCGTACGTCCGCGTGGCGGCGGCCAATGGGTCGCACCTGCAAATCTTCCTCGAGGGCGGTCGGTCGCGCACCGGGCGCCTGATCGGGCCCCCCAAGATCGGGCTCTTTTCGGCCGTGCTGGACCCCTTCCTGGCGGCGGCGTCCGCCAGCAATCCGGTGCCGACGGGGGTCATTGCACGGGCCGATCCCATGCCGGTGCTTCGCGATGTCGTGTGTGTGCCCTGTGGCGTGGCGTATGACAGCATCCCCGAGGATGCGGCCACCTATGGGCGTGAGCGTGCCGGGCTGCCGAAGACGCCGGAGTCCCTCCTCTCGGCGGCCTGGGCCGCGGTCAGCGGGCTCTTCGGCGGATCGGGCTCCGGCCCCGGCGGGCGCCGCGGGGCGCGTGTCTACATGGACGTCGGCCGGCCGATTTCCGCCCGGCACTTTGTCACCCAGCGCCTGCTGTACAAGGCTGGCGGGGCCACCGCCGATGACCATGCCCTCCGCCGGGCCATCGATGGGTGGGACTCGTCCGATGTCCAGGCATTGGCCATGTACGCGATGCAGCGCTCGCGGGATGCCTGCGCCGCGCCCGATGTCCCGGTTCTCTGTCTGGCCCTGGATGCCTTCTTCCTCGGGCCGAACTGGTGCCTGCGCCGGGGCCTCGGGCCGCTCGGCGGCGGCGGCGGCGGCGTTGGCAATGGCGGCGCCAGCGTCACCGGCACAGGTACCCCCCCCGAGGCGACGCCCGACTCCGAGGTGCCGCCCCTCCACCGGGGTGCCCTTGGCGAGGCCCTGGCTCGGATTTTGGCCAGCCCAGCCCGCCACCGGGTGGATGCGGTCGTCTCGGCGGCCGACCTGCTGGATGGTTGGCACTTTGTCCGGGAGGTGCTCTTCTCGCGCGGGGTCCTCACCAGCGGGGAGCCGGTCTTCGGGTTGGAGTATGGCCGCCGGGGGCAATTCCCCACGGCCGCGGTCACGGCGGCCGGGGCCAGTGCCACCAGCCCGACCCCGGTGCCCGGGACGTCGTCGCCTTCATCGCCATCGCCATCGCCATCGCCATCGCCATCGCCGCCGCCGCCGCCGCCGCCGCCACCTCAATTCCTGTCGGCCCTCAGTGTGGCGGGTCCCGGGTCTCTGGGGATCTTGGACCTGGCCGAGGGGCTGGGCACGGTGGCACGCGGCCAGGGCGCCAAGGCGACCGCGGCGGCGGCGGCAACGGCGGCGGCGCGCTTCCGCGCGCGCGTGGCCTCGCCAGCCGCCAGTGTGGCCGGCTGCTCGGCGCCCCTGTTGACGGTCTTGCCGTCCGACGATGCGCGCTTCTCGCGCAGCTACTATTCCAACCAGGCGTCGCAGGCGCTGCTGCCCGAGGCGCTGGCCTTTGCCGCTACCCTGACCCTGTGTGCCCCCTCGGCGCCGCGCAAGCACATGGGCTCCGGGCCCGGCGCGTCGGCCCGGCCGCTTGAGACCCTGGGCGATCCGTGGTCCTGGTCGGATGGGCTGGTCCTCTCGGCGCGGGACATCCTGGAGCGCACGCGGCTGGTGCGGGCCCTCTTCGCCGGGGAGTTCTTCCTGTGCGACGAGGATGAAACCGCCCCCACGGTGGGGGTACCGCTGCCGGGGGGGGACCCCGGCGCGTCGGGCGGCTCGCCGGTGCACCTCAGCGGCCGGGGGGCTTCCTCTCGTGCCGGGGGCGGTGGTGCCTCTGGCGGGTCGCCGGTTTTTGCGGCTCTCGGCCCGGGAGCCGGCGGGATGGCTGCCCTGGGGGGCGCCATGTCGTCCGGCCCCCCCGGCGCCCCGACCCTCCAGCCTGGCCAGTGCTGTGCCCCATTGCCGGCGGTCACCGGCCCCGGGGCCGGCTCCAGCCAGCAGCCGGTCGGCCAGCTGGATGAGGTGGCCATGCTGGCGTGCCTGATAGATCCCAAGGCCCGGCACTTGCCGGACCTTTCGCTGGACATCCCGGACCCGTTGGATCAGTGGGCTTCGCGCGGGTCGCGCGCCTGGGCCGATTCCTCGCTCGTGGGCATGGCCTCGTATGCCCGGCGGCGGACGGTTCGCGGGCTGGCCTGGCTCGTGCGCGAGGGGCTCCTCGAGGCCCATGTTGTTGACCATGGCGGGTGCGCCACTTGCGGCGCGCTCTTGACTTCCGGGCCGGCCATCCGCCCGGCGCGTGTCCTCTTCACCCTGAGCTTCGTACGTCCTCCGCCATCGGAATGCCCCCCCCC